AACCATTTCAAGTACAGGATTTAAAGCAGTCGAAAACAACATTTTTGATCAAAATATTCACCAAAAATATAAAATTTGAAATATTAACACAAAATGAACAAATTTAACACTTTGAACAAATCTGAAGCCATGCTTACCAGGGTAGTAGCGAATTTAGAGACAGAAGGTCAAAAACATAGGTTTTGACTAAAAATCATCAAAATTTGAGATATTATATGAATTGCCATTTTTTTCTTGCACTTAAAAAATAGATTTGGATGTTGAATCACTATTCTGCAGTCATGTATACAATGTAAAGTCATTTTAAATAACTGACCGCTTTCAATTAGAATTTTTTTTAACAATATTCTGTCGAAAAGCATATAGAGTATGCTTAAAATTTATAATACAAATGCAAATTGGCTAATTAACAGGCAAAAATTTGTACACAAAGTAATAGGATGTAGCGCACATCCACATTATCATAATTGTTATTCTTAGCTGATTTAAATGACAGACAGCACTATGGCATAAGCTCCTTTTCCTTCAGCGAGGCACAGCAGGAGACTAAATAGCTTTTACAACATTTTGCTCTTCAACAAAATAAAACACCCCCAACCTCAGGAATGAATTAGCTTTTATTAATTAAACACGGCACTACTTCCAGCATGACACCATTATTTAAATAACAAATATGAATTTAATAAAGCTATAATACACATACATATATGTTGAATATTTTATTTCATGGAAAAGATGGTGCAAAAATTAGATTAAGTTCAGACTTTATTTAGGTCAAATTATTGGCATGACATTAAAGAAAGCACATTACATTACATAAAGACTAATACTGTGTTATTTATGTTGTTCTCACTCTGCATACCAAGTAACCTTGAGAGAAATAACATGCACACACCTGATGGCCAATTGATATTGATATCCCCCCCCCCCTCACCCCAAAGCAAACAATAGGTAACATACATACCAATCTCTGGTTCACAAGTGTATTTATAACTACCACACAATACACTGCAAATCATTATTTTTGATATATATTTTTTAGCTGGAATTTATTTAAAAAAAAATTAAATGAAGTTGATAATAAGTCATTTATTTTCACTGATTTGGCATAAACTACAGGCACCCCAGTGATGAAAAATGCTTTCAGCGAAAATAAATTCCAAGCAAAAATATTTTTTAGCACAAAACTTGTTTTTGTCTCTGCTCAAATTGGGGTAAATTTGTTTACATTTTCTGTATTTTTTACTGAATTCAATTTTAATTTTAAACAAACCATATTGTGACATTACTTCTAGTTTTTGATTAAAAAATTTGAAATTTTCGCAACATTTTTTGGGAAAGAGGAGGCTATAAATAGAACCATTTTGTGGATGGTGCCTGAAGATGACTTAGGTCAAAGGGTTAAATGAGAGTACTATAGAATACTTTATTTTCGCTTGGAATTTATTTTCGCTATTTTTGCTGAAGGAAAGATTCCGTGAAAATAAAATCCAGCAAATATACTTTTTTTCCTATATTTCACATTAAACTCATCAAAAATCAGTGAAAATAAATTTCATACAAAACGCCCAAAAAGCCTTTTCAGCGAAAATTAATTCCAGCGAAAATAAAGTATTCCACAGTATCATAAACCAACAATGTACCTTACAGACTATGCAAGAATAAAAAAAATTCAATAGTCCATTCACTAAATAAAATAACATGATGTATTTTAACAATCTAATAAAGTAAAAATATCAATCACTGTATAAAAGACACACAACACTGCTGAGACTTCCGGCACAAACCATAATACAAGTCATGTCACTGGTTTAACCTTGCTGCTTCCTGTAGCCTAATACTAAATACAAATACTTTCCGATTTAAAAATTGCTAGTAATCTTCACACACATTTACTAAAAGGAAAATAAGTGAAAATACAACATATGTTGCTGACAACTTTACTGGTAAATACAAAAGTACATGGATTTAAATGTTTTGGAAAACTAATATCTAACTGGATTTTAGACGAATAACAATGAGATTTCATCTGCAAAAAAACATTTTAACATTCCAGTCACATACGCATAGTCTGAAAAATATCTTTAAATGACACCACAGGAATTTTTGCTTTTCAAATAGGCAACAATTCTAGAGATATCTATACGTCTATTAGGAGCATTAATGTACAATGATGTCTAATACAGAAACCTGGATTTGTTAAAATTGCATTTAATATAATTACTTGGCCTAATTAGATATGCTAAACTCATTAATCATACAAAAAGTCAGATTATTTGGCAACAAATTACTCTCTAATAGAGAAGGGATTTTGTTTACACCTGGGGGAAAGGTGTAATTACACTACGCACACTGTCAGTGTTTTCTAGGAAGAACATAAAATGTATCAATTTAACCAGTTTTAAAAATAGGATAACATATAATTTACAGCAGTTGACAGATATTGATGGGTTGTGTTTGAAAGCAGTCTAATGAACACACAGCCGATAAAAGCTATCACGTGCATGCAAGGTTTTTTTTCATCAACTAACTAAGCACATGCATAGAATTTCTTTAACAGCTTTCAATTTAAAATTCTGTGCTCACACCAGTGCATTTCCAGGGTGAAAAAGTGATAAGACATTGGTTTTACATAAAGCAATGTACATGTATAAACCTTGTATTCAAGACAATTCCTGATGATGGCATGTTTCCTATATTTTTGTTGCAGTTTGATGGATATTCAGTATCTCACAATTGACTAAATGGAAGTCTAAGTGATATGAAAGCCCTTGGGAAAACTCAGGGTCATAACATGCAACCTACAGCAACATGGAAATCTTAATAATATGAATTATTCAGGTAATCCCATGGAAAGTAGCTGGAAAACATCATGAAGATTCAGACAGTGAAATGAGTTATCTTCCACTCTGCTTCACTACAATACATATTCAGCTTCAAAATGGTTGAGAGGTACATAATGCAAGATACATCTCAGAGAGCTTACTTCAACAGAAAGTCAACATTTTCAACTCATTTATCATGACACTTACAGCCATGTGACATTTTTAGATAGAAATCTCAATACTACGTGATATAAAATCCCAACAATATGATTGGTTCATGGATGCATGTGATATAAATATAATAATATAATAAACATATACAAAGTTTTATTTTCAACCAGATCAGATGACTATGAGAAAAACACTGACCTTTAATTGTCAGTTGAATTTAGTAAAATAAAAATAATTATGTATTGATTATATATAAATATAAAAGTTCAGACTGTAAATATGTTTTTTTTTTAAATAAACTGATAACATGCATAAGCCTCAGTTTATTAATTAACAAGCCATGCATGGAACAGTCCCCGTTAGTTATCAAATTTAAGATATATAGTTTTGTTTATAGTAATATAGCTGGAATATAACCATGTCAGAAATATGATTTTTTAACATTAAAATGATTGACATTTGTATCTGACCGTCAAACAAGTACTTGTCCATATTGAGAGATATTGCTCTGGAACAGCATTCAAAATCAACCATTTTGAATACATGTATATATATAACATGATTTATAACGAATATATAAAATTTGAACATAATCAGTCAAAGCATTTAAGAGACATGGCTCTAGAAGTCCAATCATTAAAACAAAATGGTCGCCAGTCAGCCATTTTGAATCCAATCTGAAAAATAAAATGACGTGTATCAGGAACCAGTAATGTCTAATGTATGTACCAAGTTTGAATGAAATCCATCCATAAATGCTTGATATTTGATGATTTTTTAGCACAAAAATGACCACCATTTGGCCATTTTGAATATGATTGTTGAACCAATATATCTGTTTATCTATGACATGATGTATAATGAATATTTAAAATTTGAACATAATCAGTGAAAGCAAGTCAGAGATATGGCACAAGAACCACATTCATTAATACAAAATGGCCATTTTGAATCTTATCTGAAAAACAAAATTATTTGCATGAAGGGCCCATAATGTCTAATGTATAATGTATATACAAAGTTTGAACAAAATCCATCTGTAAACAGCTGGGAAATGCTTGATTTTGATGATTTTTAGCACAAAAATGGCCACCATTCGGCCATCTTGAATCAGATGGTGAAACAAATTGACGTGCATATGTATAATATCATGTGTGATGTATGTGTGAAGTTTGATTGTGATTGGTCCAGGCATTTCTAAGATACAGGTCCGGACGCACGCACAGATGCACACACGCACGCACACACGGAGGTCATAACACAAGTCCCCGTTTTCGGACTGCGTCCGAACGGGGACTAATAATACAACTTTGATATATGCTCTGCTAGTAGTATATGTGTACTTGACAGCGATTTGTTTTATATATAGTCAAATTAAGTCATGTTGATTGGGTGCTTCTAATGAAGATGCGCTCTAAATAGAGCAAAGACAAAACTTGACTTTACAATTGCATTGTAAGATATGGGAAATTCAGAAGCTTACAATCAGATTCTTTACATTTCCCACCAGGTTTTAATACACTTGTGATAATAAGTATGTATATAATGATCTGTTACTATAGGGTAACTGATGGAATTAGATTATTATTATTCTTAGATTATATTAAAATTTTCATTTTTTTCAATTTTAAATCAAAGAGGTAAATTTAAAAGTTTGGTAACTTTTTAAAATGAGCAAATTAAATTACTTTGGCAGAATTTTGTACAGGTCAGCAGAATATGGAATGGTAAATACTTTTGCCAACCAGCTTATGTACATTTGAAAACAAAATGTCACATATGCATCAGCACTGGCACACAATCATAAGTTGATTTATTAATTAGGACGTATACATATATATTTAATTACTGCAGTGAACAACACTTTGAGTGCAAACGACTGTACACAAGTGCTTCCTCCCACACCCATCCTGAACAATGAGAAAGCAAATGTAACACGAGGATGAAATATGAAAAGTGTTATTCAGTTTTAAATATGAAACCCATTCTGATTGCAATCCTTACCTCATCTGTAGCTCGGTCAGCTTTATCCTGGAGAATCTCCAATTCGGTTCTCATTTCCTCATCTTCCATGGCTGCCCCTTAGCCAACTGGCAGCTGTTAACTACTGATGATTGTTTAAAGTGACTTTCAGAACCACTTTAGAAGGCAAGGATGGATTACAGGTTTACTTTTGTTAAAAATCTGTAAAACAAGACAAATATGAATTACAAAAAGTAAAGTGAATGATAATTGATATTCAACAATTTACACTTTTGCTTCCACCACTGGTAATTACAAAAGCAAATCAAAGAAAGCTTAGAAAGAACTCCCATGTGCTGAGAGTATTGGAGACACATTAAATATAATTCGAAATTACTTAGCTGAAAACTAATTATGCAAATCAGAAAATTAATATGACCAGATTTGAGTGTAAAACTAATGAGGTCTGCGCAATGTAACAGAAAATCTATGTCTCCAAGTTTAATTGAAATGTGATTAGAACCAAAAAATTATGAATTATTATGCTTATTAGGGAATTAATATGAACAGATTTTTACCCCAAACTAATTAGGTTTGTACATTGTCCTAGAGCATCTTTGTACTAAGTATCATTGAAATGGAATACTGTAAAATGACTAATTTTCACTGGGTTTAAATTTCACTGATTTACCATTTCACGCATATTCAGTGGGTTTTAAATTCACGGTTTCGTCATTAA